GCTGGGCTCTGCCTGAGACAGCTGGGTGGCACTGTGCCTGGGCTCCGCCTCCTCCTGGCTCAGCACCGCCCCACAGAGATGCCAAGAGGGGCAGTATGTAACCAAAAAGCAAGGTCCTGCCTTCGTAGTGGTAAGCGCGCGCCGAGGGTCAGAGCTAGCACCAAAAGACCCCTACAGGGCGACTGTGGCCATCTGTGAGGCTGGCCATTTCAGCATCACGTGTGTGCCCCGTCAGGGTGCTGCTCCCCTGGAAGGAGTAGGGATAAGAGTTGGCTTGGGGGCTCAAACGAGGGTTTTCCTAACCTGGTGGCCAGAGAGGGACAAGGGGTGCTTACACGCTGGCCCTCGAGGCTTCCTTGCACCCCACACCCCAGTGCACGCGCTCTGCTGCTCCGCTCCTCCGGTCTCCTCCAAAGCCTCCTTGTTCCCAAGCAAGCAGGGACTTGGGATCATGCATATTCTATCAGGGAGGAGGATCGCTAGGAGGCTCATCAGTCACATCGCTTTTGCTCCCTTTAGCTTCTAGACTGTTCCAGCTCGCCCCCGCTACCACCTTTCTAGCCCATCTTTAACTCCAGCCCCCGTTATCCTCTGCAGTGCTGTCGAATAGTTTCACTGCTTCTCTAGAACACACCATGGTTTTGAATTTGACCTTAGAGCAGAGGAATGGAAGAGGACAGGAGACTGGCACCTGCTCCTTTATTGTGACTAAAAATGAGAGCCCTTAGCTCAGCTAACGTCTGCACTTCGTCTTCACAGTGCAAGAGCAGGGGATGAGGAGGGCAAAGAGGTGACTGGGCCCAGGTATTGAACTCCAGCACAGAGACCTGGACGTGAAAAGGAGTCCTAGAGACCATGAGAAGTTGATGGTCCCCAACTAGGCGACAACTAGGTACTGAGCACAGAGTCCTACAAGCCTTTCTTTGTTCAGGGGTCTTCAGGCCTCTCATTTCCCCCTACTATCAGCATGACCTGGCCTGTGTCCCCAAGAGCAGACACCAACTGTGTTACTTTATCCCACACTCAGACCATGCCTCCTTGGTCCCTTTCCTTCTGTCTGTCTCATTTCTTCTGGTTTCTCTAGCTTTATCCCTTGCTCCAATCTCTCTCCCTTGGCCCCTCTCTCTCCTGGTGGGGCCCGTTTTTCTAAAGCATGCAAACACACACCCACACTGCCCATTGCAAACCAAGCCCTTCAGTCTCCCCTCACTGGCTCTGCCATTCTTCCTTCTTCCAGGGTTCCAGTCTTGCTTCTTCCCTCGCCGGACAGTGGCCTGAGCTCCTACACTGGGAATACCCTCACCAGGATCACCAGTAGATTTTGGTGCTTCTGGTCTCTGTCTTCCAGATAAAGCCAGTCTGATCCTCTCCTTGAACCTTGGCTTTTAGCTGCCACACACCCTCCTTTGAGTTTGCTCATCTCCTCTACCTAGTGGATCTCAGCTCACCTCTTCTCCCCAGACACAATTGCCCATTGTGCCTACCCACACCTCCAACCTGCTCCTTCCCTTCTGCTTTCTGTGGGTTTTCTAAACCATGAGATGTGGGAGTATCCCTGGTTAATTTTTTTCCCTGCAAACACAAAACAATGCTGTGTCCTGGGGGATGTTTCCTAAATATGTGCCCTATCCTCTCCCACTCCTCTGTCACCACTGTGGTCTTTGACCACTCATTCTCAGCACAACTCAGCAGGGCAGGCCTGTTTCCATTGTCATTGGTCTTATTCAAATGCAGCCTGAGGGTATTGCACTCAGATCACTGTTTTATCCCCCCTCCCCCCAACCCCTCTCTGGTTCTTCTAGGCCAACCAGTTCTCTGCTCTCCTCACCCCTCCCAGTCCTGACCAGGTGAGTTCAGGTGCCTTGCTGCTCTTCTCTTGGTGGGGCCAAGTCCTAGTTACCCTCCTTGGCCTCATTGTCCCCCTCCCCCTGTAGCCACACTGTATTAATAAGGGTTCTCTAGAGGAAGAGAACTGACACAGAGAATGTATTTTAAAGCCATTTATTAGATTGGTTTACACGACATGGTCTGGGTAGTTTGGCAATGGCAGTCTGATGGTGAGAGTCCAAGAACCTGTTAGTGGCTCAGTTCATGAGACTGGAGCAGTTGCCTCTCAGATGCCGAGACCTGGAGGGCTCCCGGAGGGCTGCTGGTCTTCAGTGTACTTTAGGATACTGACAAAGCTTGTTCTAGTAGCAGTGAAGGAAGGCTTTAGGAACAGGATAAATGAACTTGAGAAGTGAGATTCGAGAGTGAAGATGCACAGGCCAAACACAAAGCTCCCTTCTCCCAGCCTCTCAGCCTCCCAGCCCTTGTATTTGAGCTACCTCCAGCAGGTGCTGGCCCACATTTAGGGAGGGTCTCCACACTTGAAGCAATGTGATTAAGAAAGCCCCTAACAGGAGGCTTGCTGTTGTAGTTGAGTCCAGATCCAGTCAAGTTGACAAGCAAGCAAAATTAGCCATCACACACACACACACACACACACACACACACACACACACACACACACACTCACTCACACTCTCACTCCTTGAAACCGCTTTTTGCTTTTCGTGTCTCACAGAGCCCACGTGTCTCTATCTCATCTATCACATTGCATGCAGTGGCTTTCCTTCTGCTGCACTGGAACTCCTTTTGACTGTTGGTGCCTTGAGGGCCATGCTGGGCACCTCCTGCATAAGGACCAGTGCACTGCAGTGTCTGAGCCAGAGACTCACTGTGTTTGTTGAATGCAAGAAGAATTCATAAAAGCCAGAGACAATTCTTAGTCAAAGCATGGGCTGTTGTAGCAGGAAGTTCATGACCAACTTTTCAATTCATAAAATATTTCTCTAGTGTAGCACTGTATTGAAGAGAAGAATACTTTTTATAAAAACAAAAGCAATGACTTCTCTACATAGGTAGACATAAATATATAGGGCCACATTCCGTTTGAACTACATTGAATGGTCTGGGTTTATAAATGACTGTTCAGCACAGTTGCCACATTTTTGAGTGTGCTAACACATGTATCAACCCAGGAGATACCATCGCTATTGGGCAGGCAGAAAGCAAGGGTGAATTATAAAAGCACACAATAGTGTTAGATTTGTAAGGGTATGTCAGTTTTAAAATGCTAAGACATCTGTAACTTATTAAAAGAGATGGAAACAAAACAAATGTCACAAAAACCTATAAAGAGGGAATTAAATTAGAAACCCCTAACACGCATATTTAAGGTAGTGAGATACTTGTTACTCTTAAAATACAGCAAAAGATTATGGTTTGATCAGATATATTAATTACAGTTATAAAATTTAAAGATTGAATACACCAATGTAATGAAAAAGATGCTGTACCCAGAAAGTTAGATAATCAATTAATGATAACACATACCCAGCAAAGGTAGCTCCTGTCTGTTGAGTGATGGCTGGCACTGGCCTGAGTCTGTCTCTAGGGAAAAATTTTAGTGTAAAATATAGGAATTATTACCACCATCATTTTACATGCTTAGAGTGGTGACTTTGAAGGGTGACTGACTAGCTCACCATCTGCCTGATAACTCATGTCTGCTCTAGCACACTGTGCTAACTTGCAGACTCCATAGTCTAAACTGTGAAAGTGCCCTTCCCTCCCTCCCTCCCTCCCTCCTTCCCTTCTTCTTTGTCTCTCCCTCCCTTCTCTTCCTTCCCTCCCCTCCTCCTCCCTTCCTCTTTCCCCCCTCTTTCTATCTCCCTCCATTCCTTTCTCTTTCCCTCTCCCTGTCTCCCCCTTCCTCTCTCCTTCCCTCCCTCCCCTCCTTGTCTTTAGAACCAAGCACAGAGACTTGTAAATA